CATTATTTTTTTGAAAAGAAAACACTTGAATCATTTATCTTCTCTAATATTATAAGAAGGAAATTAAGCTTTTGGCATAGTCATCCTAGAGAATGCCACTCTCTTGGTTCAGTTTACACGTCTTAGGGCTATTGATTGATGAGGTAGTGTAGAGTGGGAGCCATAGGAAAGAGGTACTCTCACTCCTTTCTGTCTTCAATTTTATGATGGTACTGGGGAATTATGTGTTATTTTATATATCCTGAGTAAAACAATCTTCTCTAAGGTATCAGTGACTATAAAAGATTCTTATAAATAATATAACAAACTATAATACTGAAACTGAGTGGACAAATAACTTCAATATTATTTGTTGTAGAAAAGGATAACAATATCTATAAAAATAAATAATTAAATGAATTATATTAGAGCCACATGATGAGATACCATGCAATAATTAAGAAAAATAAAATTGAGCTGGAAAGATGAACTTCTATTATAAGTGAAAATACAATTATAGTACATTTGAGAGTAAAATTGATATATATGGAGAGAGAGAAAATAAATATATATGCATTTGTTTGTAGTTATAAACTCAGAAGAATGAGCAGTTTTTTCTTTCAATTTTTTTTCTGATTTGAAAATATGTATTATTAACTAAGCCCATTCCCCAAATTAATTAGCAAATAAGAGGGGAAAAGTAAGATTTTGAAAGGAAGATGAAACTACAGCAGTTGTTAACCTGTGCCCAGGATTACAATTCTAAGCTAATGTTATAGAAATTTCTCATAACATTAACCAAAAAGAAATTCACTTCATTTTAGTAGAAAATTTGCATAAAATTTTATAAGTTTACATAGTAAGTCTCTTAAAACTAGAAGATTATGTTAACAGTGCTAGTGAATTTCAAGGGAATATGTGGTATCAATTTCCATCAAAATAAGTAAAACCTTATCTTTCTGATTCCTAAAATCCTTTCTCATGATCCATTTCCCCTCCATAGAATGCAGCATTTAATTTAATTCTGACACTCTACTTCTTATCTGAATATAGAGTCAGATTTCACAGCTTGAGGGCTCGCTACCACAAGATTGCCTTCCTCCCCACTTTAGATGCCAAAATTGCAAGTCTAGATTATCATCTCTGGTTTTGACTGATTGGCTATAGAATGGAAATTCCAACAACTGCCTCCTTGAGTTCCATTAATTTCCTAGAGAACTCAGGGAAATATTTTACCTGAATAGTATTTTAATAAAAAGATACGTTTATAGCTTTCTTGCACTTAGGAATTCCCGAGGGTTTTAGTGACTCCATGCTAGATATGAGGAGGAAGGTCAAGATATTTTCTTCATATAAATCTCAACATCATATTCACTTACATCGTTTTTGAAGGTGTTAAGCTAACTGTGCTTTTTACAGTTAATCCTCTAGTAATGTTGGTTCTGGATTTTTAAAAAGTGCTTTGTTTTTAAAATTTGACTTATCTATTTTTTTGCTTTTGAAAATAAAATAAGTAAATATCATGTCAAATTATGTTTCCACTATGGAAATTCTCATTTTGGAGAAAAATTCCTGATCAAAAATATCCACCATTAAATTATTAATTTTTTTTTGTTTTTTTTTTTAAAGATTAATTTTATTTATACAAGAACCGGGGTACAGGCCAGATGTGCAGGAGGGTGAGAGGGTTCACCAGGATAGAACAGGGAACAGAACAGGCAGACTGACTGAAATACACTGCTGAGGGGAGCAGTGAGAGAGACAAGAGAGGTCTGCAGTGCCATGTGGGTTGCTCCACGGCCAGCCGGGATTGAACCGGCACTGCAGAGGCTGCTAACAGGTTCACAGCACTGTGCTCAACCACCTGAGCCACCAGGGAGGCCCCACCATTATTAATATTTTGAAAGTGTATAACTTCTCCCTCAGATATCGTCACCATAGCTCTTCCACCACCAAAGCACCCAGAGTCCTCCACCATAGTCCATTGTGGTTATTTTTTTCAATTATTTAAAAATTCATTTATTTTTAATTGAGGCAATAATACCTATATCAAGTTCTTAATCCCACCCCAACGCCTGCCCCCTTGGTGCCTCAGTTCTGTATTCCACTGTCAAAGGTTAATTTTTCATTTTGTCCTTATCTGACTGTTAATTTACTTATTTTATCTACCACATATTGGAGACACCATCTGGTATTTATCTTTCTCCTTCTGACATATTTACTTAGCATTATCATTTCAAGTAAATATGTTGCAAATGGCAACAGCCAGTATCATTCTCAATGGTGAAAAGCTGAAAGCAATTCCATTAAGATCTGGAACAAGACAAGGATGTCCCCTCTCACCACTGCTTTTCAATATAATACTGGAAGTCCTAGCCAGAGCAATAAGACAAGAGAAAGACATACAAGGAATCCAAATAGGAAAAGAAGAAGTGAAACTATCACTATTTGCAGATAATATGATAATATACATAGAGAACCCCAGAAACTCCACAGAAAAACTAATTCAACTCATCAATCAGTTCAGTAAAGTGGCAGGATACAAAATCAACATGCAAAAGTCAATAGCCTTCCTATACATAAACAATAAATCTGAAGAAGAAGAAATAAAAAAAAAACATCCCTTTTATTATCGAAACATGGTTTTTTAAATCAAGTGCATAATGATATTTACAACAATATGAGTTTATATGTTTAGTTTAAATATCAGTATTAGATTAGGTTAATAGTCATCTAGATAAACATTAAATTTCTACCTCAATGACAGATAATCCTTAATATTCTATCTTTCAGTTTATAGTGATTTTCATAGCTAGTGCTTGAAAATAATGAGATAATCAGCTCCACAGACCAGTTTTGGCAGCTTGGGAGAAAGAAAATGGTGGATTATGTTACAGAAAGATAATCTGTTCTTTTTTTGTAGGCTCATTGTGTGGAAAATTTTATATAGAGAAGACTGTATATTTATTTGAAATTACTACTACATTCCTACTAAAGTCCAGAATGTACTTTTATGTGCCTCTTTTATCTTTGCTAAGCAGGCAGACAATGAAAATATTTGATTGACTTGTGAAATGTGGTATCAATCTCTCTGAAAACCGGTTACATATCTTGTTAAAAAGTATCCTGACTGTACTGAATTTTATTTAATACCTGGAAACACTGGTTTGAAAATCATACTTTCCCATGGGCAATTAATTATACAAAAGTCCAGTCATTTGGAGCACTAGGACAACAATGATAAGGAAAGATCTAAGAGGGCCTCCAGGTTTGATATGAGCATCTGAGTATATGATGATGCCATTTACTAAGAAAGAACACATTTTGAAAGTTCAAGGTGATAAACTCATTTTATAGCTAGAAGCTGAAAAATCTTAGCTTTGGGAAAGAAATAAATCTGAGAAAGAAATATCAATTTTCAAGTCACTGATATATAAACAGTAAATACAGCTATGAGATAAGATCACTAAAAAGTTCTTAAAATTCTGCAAAATGATCACATTTATTATTTTGATGGAAAAGGAAATTTTTTTACCTAAATAAAAAATATGGCAGACTATCTTTTCAAACTAAAGAAGGACTTTTATAGAATTTTATGTAATTAAAAGGGGGAAAATGAATAGAAAAACATTAACAAAGAATGAGCAAATCTCATCATTCTAGAAAACTGTGCAAGACCAATTCCTTAGTCACAGAATTAGCTTCTGATTGTCAATATGTTCGGTAGGAGGAATATAAAAGCTCAGGCCCTCATGAAAGACTGACTGATAATACAAGTACAAATACAAACATTATTTTTGAAATTAATAAAGGAAAATACAATAGTATATTTTTTTAAATTTCTGTATTTTAGTGTGGATTATACACTAGTATTTTCAGGAATAATACTTGTTTCATATTAAAAATTATCCTTAGATAAAAATCAAATCAGCAAACATTAACATAACAGAACTCATTTCTACACTATTCTTCATAGTAGATGGCCCCCAAAGGAAATAATTTTTGCCAACTCAACCCAATGCCTGAAACAATGAAAATGCTCAAAAGCTAAGCTAGCTTCATTTTTCTACTCATGTCAAGGCCCCCAGGTTTTACCTTATGAACACAAATCTTCCTCCTACCCACTCCTTACTTCACAAACCCCTTAAAGCATATGAAAGCAGCATGTTCTGCAATAGATCACAGAGGTAAAAATTATCTAGAACAATCTTTCACCAAGCAACCTGGCTCCACAGAAGGAAGTTATGACTGTCTAGAATTTGAAAAGTGGTACAGCTTCTAAAGTTTCCAATGTCTTATATCGCGAACTTAACATTCAAATAAAAAAATGCTAATTTACTCAAAACTGCTGGACATTTTCTGTTTCTACATCTTAGAATCTTTTATAAATTGAACTTTTCAAACTTAAACTAAAAAAGTGAAGAAAGCCTTATCTTTTAAGAAAAATGAGGAGGAAAAAACCCAAGTCTTTTGTAACCTAATAAATGCTGAATAAAAAGGTAATCCATCTTAATAAAATGATAGAAATTTCATGGTTCAATTTTATTAGTATTAATGGTAATCACAAAGTCTTTGGCTTCCAAACTTCTATAAAAGATTTAAGACTTATACTTACTGTAGTAAATGTTAACGCAGAATATTTTTACAAACAACCACAAATTACATATATTTAGGGCCTCCCTTGCGGTGCAAGGGGTTAAGTTGCAGCATTTTGAAGCTATATCCACAGCCACGGCAGCTCAAGTTTGATCCCCAGCCAGGAAACTGACCCACATGGTACAGCAGACCTCTCCTGTCTGGCCCGCTGCTCCCCTCAGCAGTCTATTTCAGTACATGTACCTGTACTGTTTCCCACTCTGTCTCTGGTGAATCCTCTCACCCCCCACCATACCTCCAGCCTGTACCCCATTTCTTGTATGCATAAATAAAAATAAATCTTTTTTTAAAAATTACATAAATGTATAAACACACACACACATATATATACATACACATGCACACACACACACACACACACCTACCTTTGGAATGGGATTAAGCAAAACTACGCCTGATTTCTTAGTGATGACCTGTTTTGTTGTATAGTGATGATCTATAAGTTGAGGAATGTTTGAAAACCCAGTGCCTTCAAATCGATATAGATTCTGGAGAAAGAACAATAAAACAGAACAAACATGAAGACATTCCTTCAGCAAGACTACATTCAGTAATAAATTACATTCCATTAAGAAAAACTATTGCTGCACAACTATGTAAATATATTCAACACTACTCAACTATATATTTTCAAATGGTTAACACATTAAAATATTAAAAAATGTAATTCTAATGCACAACAAATAACAAACTTGTACATAAACCTAAAATAAATTATTTTTATAGTGACTAAATGTAATTCAAATTGTTCAAAAAATGAAAAATTAACATACAGACATGGTAAGTATTTTGCTAAAATCATAACCAGGGGAAATAAAGCAAGGGAAACATTTGAATTAAGGAAAAAGAAGTAGATTTACATATGTTTACATATATTTTATTTCACAAAATTTTCCTGATCAAAAATAATGTCAAAAGTTTGGGAAAGCATATCCAATATAATAAATATTTTAAGAATCATGCTCCATGCTTCAGGTACAAAACACTATCATGTGTCATGAATTTATGAATTTACTTTGTTCCACAACTTCATCTATGGAGGCATAGAAATAGTAGAAAAGATTAACTGGCTGCTCACTGACTAAAAAAAATAATAATAACGCTAAGGATCACCATTTCCTACTTATCACCATTAACTGTTCTTTTTTTTATGCTGGAGTTACATTATCCTTCATATTATTCTTCCACCATGATTTCATCAAATGTTAGTTCTCTTTGATTTCATATCCTCAGGTAGGGAATATTAAAGGCCCCTTTTCTCTATATTCATATTTCAAATAGGCAGGTCAATTATCATATGGAAAAATTGATAGCAACAAATTTAGCTAAGAAAAAATACATTATTAGACATACTTCTCAGTGCAAGTTCATTACAATGTAATATAATGCAATGTTTCTCTCTGCTCTCAAAATGCTCACATGTGTATATACAGTTTATATGTATAGATACAGATGTGAATGTGCTCCATTTTAAGAAAAGGTGGCATTAAGAAATACGAACTTTCAGAATTATATAAATTTATATATTATCTACATTACTAGAAGATTATTTTCCCAGCTAAATTATAAAACATTCAAAGTTCCAGTTCCTTAGTATAAAATAAGATTTTATTTATCAGAATTGAATTTATGTACATTTTAATCAACAAATAGTTCTAGTTTATTTGATGAGAAAAATTATGCATTAGCTTACTTCAACTCAAGGAAGTTTATGCCAATTATTTCAGAACAGTTGTTAATAAATTTCCTAAAGAATTTTTGTATGTCACAGCCAGACCTACTATGATATATTAGCAATAACACTTAAGAATATTTGACTCTGGACCTCCCCTGGCAGCACAGGCGGATGAGCGCAGTGCTGTGAAGCTGTCCTCAGCCTCTGCAGCACCGGTTTGATCCCAGCCGGCCGGTGAGGGTCCCACATGGCAGGCAGACCTCTCCTGACTCCCCCGCTGCTGCCCTTAGCAGTGTCTTTCGTAAGTCTGCCTGTTCTGACAGAGTGTTTCCTGCTCTGTCTCTGGTGAATCCTCTTACTCTCCTGCGCATCTGGCCTGTACCCCGGTTCTTGTATAAATAAATAATTCTTTAAAAAAAAAGAAAAGAAAAGAATATTTGACTCTGCAGACATTAATCTATTATTATATTTTTAAAAAGATTTATTTATTTATACATACAAGAGTTGGAGTACAGGCCAGAGGCGGGGGTGAGAGGATTCACCAGAGACAGAGTGGGGAACAGAACAGGCAGATCTACTGAAATACACTGCTTGAGGGGAGTAGCAGGCCAGTAAGGAGAGGTCTGCTACATCATGTGGGTTGCTCCCTGGAGGCCGGGGTTCAAACTTGTGCTGCAGGGGCTGCAGATTGCTTAATAGTGCTGTGCTTAACCCCTTGCGCCACCAGGGAGGTCCAATCTATTATTATATTATGTATGCAATAAACTAAGCAAGCTCTCTCAATGTCTCAGTTTATTCAGTGGTGAAACAAAAAAAAATTTGAAACTCCTCACAGAGTAAATGTGAAGCTTGCCTAAGTGTTAACATGCAAACTACTTTGTCCAGTATATGGTACATGGTACAAACTCAATTATCTTACATTAGAAAAATAACTTCAAATTTGGATATATGAAAAGAAACATCGCAAAGAACACTTAAGAGTATAAATTACACTTTATAAGGAATATCATAATCTATAATCAAATACCCTAGAAGGTAGTCTTATCTGAAATTCTTATAAGAAATTGACTAAAAAATGACAAAAATGTAAAAGGCTTTATGTATGTAACCTAATAACAAGTGTTTGAACCAAATATTTGATATTTTATACTTAAAAGATGCTGAGAATAAATCTTAAGTAATGATACCATACAAAAGGAGAAAAAGGAGCTAACTATGTGAGGTAATAGATTATTTTGATATTTATAACTATTACATAAAGTCTACTTAAAAATTTTACACTATAAATATATAATTATATTTGTTAATTAATCCTCAGTATAGTTACATATAAGGAAAAAAATCAGGAAATATATGTGTATACACAAATATATACTGACACACACACATATATATGTCTTCCCTCATGTCCATTTATGTTCCCTCAGTCTACTCTTAACATAGTACCAAGAGGAATCCTATTATAATAGATCATTCTATTACTTTATTCAAAATTCCTATCTCAGAATAACTCAAAGTTTTTACATATGTAATATGTTTCCTATCATCTTATCTCATCTCTTACCACTACCCCTGCCTTACTGTAAAACTCATTTCCCTCTGGCTTTACAAACATACTATATACACTCCTTTCTAAGGGTCTTTACATTAGCTGTTTGAAACAGCTCCTCTGATAGTAATAGGGGTAACAGTTCCCTTCCCTTCAGGCTTTAATTAGATGTCAACTTTTTAGTACAGTCTACTCTAAATATCCTGTACAATACTCAATATTAATTTTCTCACCACCAAATTTCTTACCTTCTTGTCCTTATTAAATATTTATCTTTATAACATATCATTATCTAATATCAAATATATTTCATATTTATTTACTATTGCCTTATTTAGAATGTAGACTCATGGCATGACAAATTTTTACATTTGTTTTGCTCATCACAGTATACCCAAGGTCTAGACAGTGACTGGCCTATATTGCCTGGGTCAGTAAACATGTGTGAATGAGTAATATGGAATGCACAGATATAAATGTAAAGTTAAAGTGACAAGACATTCTAGAAATGAATACTGGAAGGTGCATAACCCTCAAGAACTCAAGACACTAGAGTACATTGTTTAATAAAAAGTAAGTCATGGGTGACATTCACATAGAATAAAATTTCAAATTGACAACTAGTGTCACAATGTTTTAAATAAAACTTTAATAACACTATAGAGTAGTGAATAAAATGATGAAATTTTAATTTAAGCATATATATAGTTTTTAATTTAAAGACAATTTTCTGTCATTGACAATGCAATAATAACAAACTAATACAGTGACGGATACGAGCAATAGCACTCATTTCATGGACTAAGGTTAAGTGATTCTTAGCATTTATATTTGTATAGCAATTACTCTGATAATAGTGTAGCTATCAGAGTCCTAACACAATATAAACCCTATCAATTCACTTTCTTAAAGATGGAGAATTAAAGTGATGAATCTAAAAATGATGCTTAAAATGTATGTTTGCAAAGTTTAGCTAAACAGCTAAAAGATCAAAAATAGTTCAATCACAATATGGCACTGAAATGAAAACAGAGACCAATGGAAAAGAAATGACAACTCAGAAATAAACCTGCAAATCTGTGGACAATTAATCTAATGACAAAAATGCCAAGAGTTTATACTGAAGAAAGGAGAGTCTCTTTTATAAGTGGTATTGGCAAAACTGGATAACCACAGGTAAAAAAATGAAACTAGATGACCATTTCACACCTTACACAAAAATTAACTTAATATGGATTAAGGACATGAGTTTATGACCCCAAACTATAAAATACATTGAAGAAAAAATAGGCAAAACAATCCATAATATTCATTTCAGAAACATCTTTGGGAATTCATCTTCAATGGCAAGAGAAGAATAAGCAAATACAAACAAATGGTATTACAACAAAGTAAAAAGCACAATGAAAAAAAAATCAGTAACACAAAAAGACACTCTATTAAATGGGACAAAACATGTACATAACATATCTGGCAAAGGGTTGATATTCAAAATACATAAAGAACACATGCAACTCACAAAACAACCCATTCCCCCCCCCAAAAAAGGGAAGAAGAGCTAAATAGATGCTTCTCCATAAAACATACAGAAAAGTTAAAGGCACATGAAAATGCTCATCATCACTTGTCATCAGGGGAATACAAATCAAAACAACAATGAGATACCAATCTCATACCCCTGAGAATAGTTCCCATCAAAAAGTCCAGAAATAAGAAGTGTTAGTGAGGATATGGTGAAAAGAAGCTCTTATACACTGTTAGTAGGAATGTAGACTGGTTGAGCCCCTATAAAAAACAGTATGGAGGCTTCTCAGTATATTAAAAATAGACCTACCACATTATCCAGTAACTCCACCCCTAAGTATCTACCCATAGAATAGAAAAAGACTAATTTTAAGTTATAGATATATGTATATATACAGATATAGATACAGATATATATGTATATATACATATATATCTATATCTTCTTGTGTTCACTGCAGCCCTATTTACAATTGCTAAATTATGGAAACAGCCTAAGGGCTCAAGGAGAGAGAAGTGGATCCAAAAAATGTGGCACATGCACACACATGCACATGCACACACATGCATATGCACACACACACACACACACACAAGAATACTATTCAGCTATAAAAAAAGGATGAGTTCTTTTCTTTTGTGGCAACATGGAAGGAACTGCTGAGGATAATACTAAGTGAAATAAATCAGAAGGAGAAAGATAAAATTCCAAAATGGTCTCTCTTATGTGTGGAACATATAACTAAGGATCAGTCAAAACCAAACCAATAATAAGCACTTAACATCTGACAACGAAACTGAGGCAACAAGAAGGGGGATGTGACAGGGTGGGAGTAGAGGATGAAGGTATCTAATAGAACATATGGAGGTCTATGGGGGCACTGGTGGTAGGCATATTGTGAAAATAAACATTTGTAGAAGTTTAAACTATAACTCACAAAGACACAATGCAAACCAACTTTACCTTAGTAAACATAATCTGGGAAAAGAAAAAGAACACTAAAATTGTTGCGAATTTGTTCCTTGGTACATTCATAATTTCAAATAATTTTTTATTCTACTATAATTTTATTCTCCTTTTGACAATCTCATTATGTAGCTATCAGTTTATTTTTATTTTTTTAAATTTTATTTTTATATTCCCCTTACAATTGCAACCCCCTTATTTTCCTTGTACAGAGCTATATGTTTCTTGTAGCTCATACATCTGAGGTTAGGTTTACACACAGAATGATTCTTATTTAACTGTTTCTGTATGAGAGTTTGGGCTACCATGGGGAGACGAAATAGGGAAAAAAAAGCAAAATGAGGAAGGGGCACAATGGTAGAGGGTTATGGGTCCTTGGAGGTGGGTGTGGTGTAGTAACAATACCTAAAAGATCTATCCTATTACCTTTAGTCAAATACAATGTTTGCTTTCTTTTCTCAGGTGTAGTTCACATACAATTTCCACCACATACAATTCACCAGTGCACCATCACCATAGTCCCTTGTGTTCTTCCTGCCACTTGTGCTTCCTTTCCCCTCCCCTGCAGAATGTCTCTGATTTATAGTTGTCTGTTTATTTTTGTTTTGTTTTGTTGTAATAAAATAAATATCTGATAAATGGATTAATGATTTAATATGATGAGCTACTCAATGTCACATAGCATTACTCACAATCTTCATATTTTGCGGTAATTTATTTTCCTGAATGAATGAGTAAATAAATTAAAGATGATGCTATGCCATTACATAGAGTAATTTCTTAAGTTTTATTTTAAGACGCTGTTATTTTTAATTCATCACCATATGTCACTTTGAACTTCTTGTCTTATTCATCCTTAATTCTCCATCATTAATAATAATCTGTTCACAAATTCTACTAAATCTCACCTATAGGTTTTCAGCTCTCTGAGGAAGATCACATTTTTTTAATTTGATTTCCTTATACACTGCATAAATAAATAAAATATATTTATTTTGCAAAAAAATGGAAATGGGTAGTTAGCAAATGAGTGTCAGAGAAATATGAATTGCCACTTTCCTATCAATAACAGCATGAAAAACTGTAGTACACTTGTTTTATCTCATGTATTTTTACTTTACCATATACAAAGGTAAGGATGCAATCATATATTTCTTTTGAATGGAACAAAGCTAGCTAAATCCCTATGAAAATATATCAGCAATTACAACACACACAAAAAAAAACAGCTTTAGGTACAAACTCTAAACATAATTTTACCTCAAGAACCATACACAGGCTAGTAAATATGGAATGGGTCAGTAAATAAAAAAAACAGTAGAATTACATTGAGACTCTAAATACTCTTATATGTACTTAGTAATCTGGTTTTATGAAATTAACATGCCTAGTATCCAATAAAAAGTACAGTAATCTTGGTTTGAATTAGTTAAGCTAACAGAAATTCACTTCCAGAGTATTAAAAAAAACAAAAATCTTGATCGGTCATAATGTCCATAGGATGAAAGGAGATTCAGACCACATTTAAAAGAAACTATGACATGCATATTAACAATAGTTTCCAAAAAATAGTCATCCTAGAATTCAGTTGACAGAGGCAATGTTGCTAAAAATAAAACAATTTATGATCAATAACACCTTAAAGCTTTATTATATTCACCTGTGATCTTTCCTTCTACAGTTCACATTCTATTTTATAAAAACTATCATCATGGCCACAGGTTGTAATAGGAAACGTTATCTAAATTCCTTCATTTAAAGGTACATACAAATAATAAAGGAATTTGCCAGGGAATGTAGGAATGGCACACAAGTACAAACAGTAGTTCAGATGTCTGAGAACAAGTGAATATGATTATCATGTTGAAGTTTGAATGTTATGCAATATTAATAAGTAGTATGAAAATTATAAGTACTTAATTTTTTTAATTAAACTTGTTTATTTTCTGACATGTTATTAATTTTTGGACAGTATTTTATTTCTCCCCTAAAGTGTAGACCCCATAGTTCTCGCACCAGCACAGCACCCATGTACATGGACTTACTCCTTTTAACTCATCTGAATACCACCTACTTTCAGTTAAATATAATTACTGGATATGACTATACTAAATGAACTCAACTATATACTTGTGACTGAGATAATATCTATTAGATACCTATGCTATTAGTAATATGTTACCTAGAACACATAATTTATATGTATATTCCATTTGTATTATTTCTATTTATAACACCATATGTAAAAAACTGCATATATGTGATACATACACTAATATATAAGATACATATATAATATTTGCAACCAGTTATCTAAAACTCCCTGAAGTTCACTTAATATTAATAATTCAAACTTTTTGTAAGGTAATTATGATCACTCTGATGCCTGGAATATAAGCTGAAATCCTGTAGATAGCAGGCTTGAAAATGCATGCTATTTGAAATGATGGCATCAAAACAACAAATACAGGCATCATTTCTCTATCAAAAACATTAAAAATTTGGGCCTCCCCTGGTGGCACAGCAGTTGAGCGCTGGGTTGCAAAGCTGCCCACAACCTCTGCAGCGCCGGTTTGATCCCTGGCCGCTGGACAAGGGTCCCACATGGCACGCAGACCTCTCCTGCCACCCGCTGCTCCCCTCAGCAGTGTACTTTGTCAGTCTGCCTGCTCTGGTCTCCCCTCTGGCTCTGGTGAATTCTCTCACCCTCCTGCCCTTATGACTGTACCCAGTGCTTGCATAAATAAATAAATAAATAAATAAATAAATAAATAAATAAATAAATAAATAAATGAATGAATGAATGAATGAATGAATAAATAAATAAATGAATGAATAAATAAATCTTTAAAAAAAATTAAAAATTTCCTAGTGTGTAAAGTTAAACAAAATTTTGAGGTTATTCTTCATCTCTTTAATTCTCATTAAGGTATATAAAAAGTAGTTTAACAATACATAATTTTCAATAAATAAGCTAGCATTTAATATGCAATGCAAATAGACCATAATATGCAATGTGAATAGATCATTTAATATGCAATGCAAATATTTTTGCTAATTTCCTCTAATTCATTATTTTTTGATCAAATGTTTTTATTTTTCACACTGCTGTTCATATTTGTACAATGTTTGATTTCCCTGCTCAGGTGTAGGCCCCATAAATCTCCTATCACGACATCATCCCTCACCATAGTCCCTTGTGCTCTTCCCTCCCCTATTTTGACTGGTCCCTTTTGTTCTCCCTACTCTGTGTGTGCCTCAAATCTATAATTTGCCTGCGAGAACCTATTAATTCATTATTAATGCCATTAAGCAACTGCCTATACATAAAGGTGGGAAAAGCCTAAAGAAATCATAAAACCAATTTGATTATCACTGTGCTATTCATTAATGAATTTCATAATCACTACTTAATAAGAAGTTCTTAAGAATCTCTCATTGCACTATATGTTTGAAAGCAAGTTTAAAAGCTAATTTCAAAAGCATAAAATTCATTATTAAGTTTATCAAGAAAATATGATAATCATTCTTTCATTTTAATTTAAAAATCCTTAATATCCAAAATTAACTTTAAGTATTTTAAATTTTTATACATTTAAAATTAAACTTCAATTTATGAAAATTACTTTTAATTTACAATATTTTAAAATACCTATTTTCTTTTAATAAATTTAACCTTTTAGTGAATTTTGGAGCATCATATTTAAGGAAATAAAAATTAGATGCCAAATTTATGTGTCACAGGTATTATCACAAATTACTCATCATTTTATTATAGTTACACCACCATAAACTATATCAAAATATACATATAAACTAAATGAGAAACGTACATCAACAAATTGTATGATAAAGTGTCTCCTTTGTCCATCAGAATATACAGAAAGGACATATTCACCAGGTTTCCCATGGCTCTCTCGCACCAAGAAGTCTCCTTGTTGTTTCAGAAGGTCTTGTGCTTCTATTCTGGGAATTGCACCGTGGTACCAGTCCTGTTCTGCTAGTGGCTTCTCACTTAGGGGAATCACATCTGTGAACTTGAGCAAATATTGGGGGGAAAAAACTAAATTAGACAAAACAGTCATTTTTTCTTGCAAAATTCATCAACAAATACCTCTTACTTATGTCCCTCCCTTTAATTTATCAATTCAAAGTGTACAGTAAGCTTGAAATTTTCTAAGAAAGTATCTCCTGGAACACTGGTAGAGTTGTTTAGCAGAAAAACAACTCCTTCGATAATTTAAGTTTATTTGTTAATTTAAGTTTATTTGTTTTAAGTTTATTTGTTTCAATAATTACATTTATTTGTTTTTTCTATCTAGAAAATCCAAAATTATGCACTATTGGCATTTATAATTACCATTGAAAAGAGTTATTCACTATATCATAAAATAAAATCCTTAATTTAGAATTTTTCAATCAGGGAATTATGATTAAAAGGGGTATTATCAGAGAAACTTATCATAAAACAACTTTTCTATTACTTAAATTAAATTTTTATTTATTTCTTATTTATGGAATTAACTCACACACAGAATATGGACTATCTATATCCAATATTCCAGAGGCACTGACTAAGGCTTCATTTGATAATGCCTTCCTACTATGCTTCCCATTCCTATCCTCATTCCATCAGTTCTGCCATATGGCAGATCCTGATTCAGAACATAGGTGGCAGAGAAGGCTATGGGAGGAACGGCATCATTAAAAAGCACCAAAGTACACTTACAAACACTTGGCATAAAGTAGGGAGGACCATCTGGCAAGAGTATGTCAGGAAAAGCAAATTATCTGTCATTTTAGCTCAAATGCTAAAACCAAACAACGGAATAATTAAAATGTACTATAATTCCTTGAACTGTTTCTAACTGAGAGTAAATGGAATCACTATTTTCTAGTTATAAGTAAAAAGTTTGTCATTTTCATCTATAGGAATTAAACTGTGCAAAATAGTAAAAGTAATTTATATATGGTATAATAATGCACAATCATTGTACAATAAAGTATGATAATTTTTAAAATTTTCAAAATACAATATGTACAATGTCTCATGAGAAAACAATTTATAAATTCAGATATTATGATTAATAAATTATAGGCAAATATTCATACATGATATTTTTTACTTATCATGAACTCTATACAAAGACAAATGGTAAATGAAAACTGGTTTTGATGATAGTCTGCATTGTTTTGTACTAGTAAAGAGGACCAAAACTTACTAGAAAAAGTTTCATTTTATATTATCTAAAACCCATATTATTAATTTTAAAAAGGAACCTGAAAAAATCCCAAATACACTTCAAAGCGGTCCACATTTTGGTTTTAACTTCTTCCATTTAATATGTTATTTAATTTTTTAAATATATACATGGTTTGACTCCACATGGAATTTCTTGTATGCCTTTTTCTTCTAGTACTAATTATGACACTACAATATTAAAAAATTTTAAATTGTGTTCCCCAAAATGGATTTAAAGAATGAAATATACAAAGTACAAGCCACAATTAGAGGTAGAAGAATATTGTTTTTATTAAAAACTGCATAATCCTATAGAACTATTTTTTTGTGTATGCTGATACTAATAGTTTATAATTCTTAAGGCAGGTAATCATAATGATTAAATATCCCATTCCCAAAAATATATATATACTATAATGCATCTCATTATAGTAAATAATAAAATATTTATTATAGAAATATTTCTTAATCTTGCCAGTGGCAAAGTGTTTTATTTTGTTCAGAGAGAAAAAAAAAATCAAACTAATAAGAAATTCTGTGTCACCTCTTTGCATACAATTTTTATTAGTATTTCTCAAAAACATCCATATAATAGAAGAGCATCACAAGCAAAAATGCCATAAGCTTAATTTCTTGTCTGATTCAACCCAGCATCCCAAATTTCGATGTACTTAGAATTGGAAGAATAAAAAATGTGGATAATTCATTAAGTTAAAAGGGAATTTGAAATATAAAACCTAAGCTATAATTCCAAGAGATTGATCTAAGAATTTGAAGGGGACAACCAATGTGGGGAATCACCCTGAAAGAACATCTAAGTGTCTTTTGTGTTAGTTTGCATTCTTAAAATGAAGTAAGTAGAAAGGAAATCACATTGCTATTTCATACAGATTACTTGGATTTATTCCTTGAGTATATTCCTTGGAGTACAAAAGGGAGTTTAGATATCCCTTACTGCCCACACGCTACTCTTATGCTAAACATACTGGAATTATTTAGTATGTGTGTATATATACATAGACACATACATAGGAATAGTCATACCTATCCCCTGACTAGGCCTATTAGTTCTCTCAGAAACTTCTCTGGAAGTACTGAAAGAATATTTATTAATATGACCTCCATGAAATTCAAACACAATTTTGCAAACTTGATAGTAAAAGAATTTATGATGTATCAGTCATAAAATCCAACATCTCACAAGCCATCATAATGACATCAAAATAAAATTATGCTTTTTACCTCAAATATCACACCTAATTTAATCTTCATTGAAATAACATTGGTTAAAAACATTATATAGGTTTTAGGTAAACAGAATTAGTACCTGGCATCAGTATATGCCACATTATGATCCTTATCAATAGTTTAGCTTCCAACCACTACCACCAAGATTTTACTCTCATAATCTAAAAGTTTTGTTTATGTTTGAGGTCTACAGCTTTCCATTTCAACCTTTGTGTATACTATTAATACATTATTACCACAACTGAAAGTCTCATTTCCATTGAACACCACACAATTATCCTCGGTTTGATTACCTGCCCCATCCATTTCCCTCTGATATCTACCATTCTGCTATCAGAATCTAAGGGTTTTGTTTTTGCTTTGTTTTGTTTTGTTTGTTTGCTTGTTATCTTCCATGTAAGAGTGAAGTCATAAGGAATGTCCTTTTCCTTCTGACTGATTTTTGCTTAGCCTAACACCTCAAGCTTTGCGCATGTGGTCTCAAATGGCAAGACTGTATCTTTTTCTTATACCTGACTAGTTTTCCATATTTTTTTAATATTAAATTTTATTTTTATATTCCCCCATACAATTGCAAACGCCCCATTCTGACCCCAATCATTCCCCTCCCGCCCCCCACCCCCCAAAAAGTGTCTCTGGTTCATAGTTTTTTGTTGATTTTGATTTTCACTTTCTTATATTCATTTTCCTGGTCCCTTATTTAAGTTTTCTAGATTCCTGCTATGAGTGAGACCATCCGATATTTTTCTTTTTCTTTTTGGCTTATTTCGCTGAGCATGATCCCTTCCAGCGCCATCCATATTTTTTAACTACTCATCCACTTACATTAAGTCCTCATCTTGGCTCCCCTGAATAATGATGCAATGAACACAGGGGTACTTGTATCTTTTCAAAATAATGTTTTCATATTCCTTGGACATAACCAAGAAGTGGAATAGTAAGATCACAAGGAATTTCTATTTGGAATTTTTGACAAATCTCTGTACTGTTTTTCACAGAGGCTGTACCACTTTACATTCCCAACACAGTACAAGGATTCTAATTTCTACATATTCACACCAATACTTGCTGTTCTTTTATAGCATATCTTGTTGAGCCTCAGTGGGAAAATACTCTTTTTCTTATTGGTAAAATATCTAAAATTGTTTTAAATTTATGAGGAAGGGAAGCTCACTTTTTTAAAGTTATAGTTAACCCAATACAGTTAATAATTACATTTAAAATAAGATTTCATGATTATTTTGAGATCATGATTAGATATTTTTCTTGGACCTTGTTCCTAAAGAACCATTCCAGCAGAAACATAGTGAACTTAGTACAATACAAAAATTATGATAAATGAAGAAACAATGAGGAATTGATAGTAAAAAATAGTTTTGTTTTTTTTTTCCCTCTTGGGGAAAGAATAAGACATCATTTCTTCCACACCCTACATTAGCTAATTCCCAAGAATGTATTAAGGATTTCTATACCATTATCACAAATATGAGTAAAAAATGAGTTTTTTTAGGGAGGCAAAGCTGAAAGTATTTTATGAAAGCAAAGTCTGAACTGTTTTAAAATGAAACATCCATTTAGAATGGAAATTAAACAAGTAAAACTCTCATTGATCTCAAACAAGGTAAACAAAACTTCAATACAAATACTTAAAAAAAAAATTTAGGGGATGGGGCCTAAAAGACTATGGTGGAGGACTGTGATTGCATTGGTGGTAGGTGTAGTAATGTAATATACATCTGATGTAGGCTGAACCTATACCTCTGAATCATCTACAGTGTTGTAAACTGATGTTAACGCAATAATAAAAATAATATAAAATGAAACGTAGTTCTTTTCTTATATAAATCTAGTTATTAACTTGATCATTTAAGTGATAAATTATTTCACATTTAGTTTAATAATATATTGGGATGACTGAGCAACTCTGGGATTTTAAACATTTTCCAAAAGTTTCATGAAGAACTATTTCATTTTAAAGCTATATATCACTGGGAATTTTAGAAATACTTTAAGAATCATGTATCACACAATTAGAACAAAGGCAATCACTGAATACAAAGGTCAAAAATACTGTTCTATAGAACAGTAATCTGTCAGAAGGCATCAAGTTATTTTCAGTGAAAGAGAAATGTGACCATAGGGAGGAAAAATATACTTTTTATCATTTATTTTACAATATTTTCATTTTATAAATTTTAGTATAAATTCTAAAATTAAAATGAAATACATGACAGTAGGATATAGAATAATAGGAATTTTAGGGAAACAAAAGGCGAATAATTTAAGGATTTTTCTGATGTTTATAAAAAATTTGAAGCAAAATGTGCTTTATTCTGATTCAATAGAACATTTTTTCAGAGAGCTAGTATTAGAGAAGTGTTTATATTCCAGCTTAGTGATCAGCTAGTACTCACAAGGAGCTGTAAAGATGGAACAGGTTGTTTGCTCAACCACTTATAACAGAAATTACGGAGTAAAATGAAGACTAAAGAGTAAGGGTAGTGTTCTTAAGATAATTAGAACACATCTATTAAATATAATGTGGTCTGAAAGGCTTCCAAAGAAGTGGACCCTCAAGATTGCCAGTAGGCTTTCAGATTATACAATTATAAGCCTGTCAAACAGCTTTGAGCAGGACTTTAGATGAAGTCTCTAAGAAATAGTTCGTAATGAAAAATTAAAATCTATTGAAGCATAGGAATCCACTGGATATAGAGGAGGTCGCAATACCCAGAGGTCTGAATGATAGGTTAACTCTTAAAGAAATCACATGTTTGGAACTGATAAAATATATTAAAATACTATTCTGATTATAATGATATACACTGAACATCTACTATCAGACACTATATCCAATTAAAACAAATTCATCTAACTTCTTACATTCTCCATTTCAAGACTATTAAAGATGTTTTCTATTACACTGTCTTCCAAGGTAGCTGTATGTTTTAGCCACAATATTAAAACTGTAGAAATAAATAGCTATGTCAAGTTCAATAAGAATATCATTAGTTTTCATTTCCCAATGTAGAATGCAATTAATTGATCTGCATTGTCTAAAATTACGCTCTATAATTTTAGTTCCCATTTTGTATGTTTAGTTAAATAAAAAGACTGATTTCATAGTTTCTGTTTTTTCTAAGATTTTAAATTAAATATGCTTCCACATTCAAAAGAACGAGGCTGGATATTCATCTCACACTATCTGCAAAAAGTAACCCACAAAGAATTAAAGACCTACATGTTATGAGGCAAAACTATGAAACTCTCAGGAGGAAACAAAGGTCAAAATCAGCACGACCTTAAATTTTTTTTATACATGATACCAATAAGCATGTGCAATCAAAGAAAAATAAATTTGTTTTTGTCAAAATTAAATATTTTTGGTGTTAAAGGACACTATCAAAAAATTGAAAAGACAATAATGAGAAAAAATTTAAAATTTTATCTCTACTAAGAAACTTTAATTCAGAATATATCAATAAATCTTATAACAATTAAATAAAACAATGAAAATATGTACAACAGTTATGAAGTTACATCTCCAAAGAACATATACAGGGACCAATAAGTATATGAAAAGATGCTCAACATCATTAGTCATTAGAAAATGCAAATTAAAAAGTGGTATAATTACCACTTTACCCACTTAGTTGCCTATCTTTTTTAAAAAATTGAAAGAACAAGTATTGATGAAATTATGGAGAAATGTAACACTAATAAATTGCTAGCAGGAAAGTGAAATAATGTAAATATTGTGAAAAACAGGTTGGCAGTTCCTCAAAAATTTGAACAAAGAATTACCAAATTGCTCATTAATGCATAGGTATATAACAGAGGGAACTGAAAACATATGTCCACATGAAAACTTGCATATGAATGTTGATTGCAGAATTATATACATAAAATTAAAAAAGTGAAAACAACTCAAATGTTCATCAACTGATGAATGGATAAAAAAATCTGATAAATTTCTTATAACATTATTTAGTCATAAAAAGGAATGACATATTGTTACACATTAGAAAATGGATGAATCTTGAAAATATTACACTGTTGAAAGAAACTAGATGCAAAGGTCCAGAATAGGGAAATCCATAAGGAACAAAGCAGATTAGTGATTATAAGAAAATCGGGACAGGAGCATGAAATATCTTACTGGATAGATTGAAATGCTCCGGAATGAGACAGTGGTGATGGCTGCAACTCATAATTAATATATTAAAACCACTAAGTGTACATTTTTAAATAGCAAATTTTATGGTTTTTGAAGTATATCATAATAAAGTAAATTAAATATACTGAAGTATGGTATTTGACAGGCTATGTAAATACTTATTAAGGGCCTCCCTGGTGGTGCAGCGGTTGAGCACTGGGTTGCGAGGCTGCCCGCAGCCTCTGCAGTGCCGGTTTGATCCCTGGCGGCTGGGCGAGGGTCCCGCATGGTGCGCAGACCTCTCCTGCCACCTGCTGCTCCCCTCAGCAGTGTATTTTGTCAGTCTGCCTGTTCTGTTCCCTGCTCTGGCTCTGGTAAGTTCTCTCACCCTCCCGCGCTTCTGACTGTACCCAGTGCTTGTATAAATAAATAAATAAATCTTTTAAAAAAAGGAAAGAAAAAAGAAAAAAATCACTTACATATAATTAAAATGTCCCTTCTATTTCCCTTAAACAAATCAGAATATTCAATTTTCCTAAAAGCCTTAAAGATATTGATAAGTTTTTTTTAAAAAAAAAATCAATTTATATTTGAATGAAGCACATGTTTTGTGGGAAATGCAATTCAAGTAAATTTACTTCAAGTAATTTGTTGAATGGATATATAACTAAATTAATTAGGATATAAGCTTTCTTTTTCTAAATAAGACTAGGTATATTATATTAAACAGACTTTAAAAGAATAAAAGACGTTTCAGCTTTTTTGTAGAAACTTAGAAAGATGGGATTAAAGCATGTAATTAATTTGTTCTGTGTATTATTGACTTATTCAGTAAGATAACACTGTAAAACTGTTGTTAAGTAGGCATGGCTAGAATAAAAGTCTAAAAATTTAATTTAAAGGGAATGAAATAAGACAAATATTTTATAATTTTACCAAGTAAGTGGAATGAGAATATATTTTATCTTGCTTGGCTATAACCACTGTTTTTAGGCATAAGTAAAATTCCATGTACCATTGTGATATGCCAAATCCATATTTAAGCAGACTTAAATTTTATAATTAAGACGTTATAAAAATATAAACTGATATGTTTTTGAAACACATGTACTGCAAAAACCCTTATTATAAAAGTGTTAAACTCTAAAATATACTTGTTCATAATATTCATCCATTAAGGCTTCAAAATATATAAAATGTTCCCTTATTATTTATATGTAGCACAGGAAGTCTATAATTCAATCTGATTTATGTCCTCCCTAAATCATTTATATAGGTTACAGAGCCCCCCCTACCCTCTCTCTCTCTCCCCACACACACAGACACAAACACACATACACACATATTCATTGCATACAAAAAGTTAAATTATTCATTTATTTTTCCATTTTAAAGGAAAATTGCAAATACTCAACTTTACATATGACATCCATTGGTATCTGACAAAGATGTAAACAATGACTATTTTCAAAAGCACTTAGAGTAAATCTTAACTTACTGTTGAAGAGCCAAGTGCAGATTTTGGAGACTTAATTATTCCAGCAATTGAATGCCGAATAGACTCAAATTTGGAGAGTCTCTCCTTTCTTTCCTGGAGAGATTAAGAAAGACTTCAGCAATAGTAAACTATCCTGTTTATACACACAGTCACTGTCAAGTATTATATATGCACAATGTATTCATCATGTCTTCCAATGAAACAAAATGTTAGTTTCTTGACATTAAAAATGACAATTAAATATAGATACAACTTTATAGATCTTTATTTTCCTAGTCTGTCAATAAATCTCTTAATTTGGAGAAAAGTGAGAAAGAAATCCAAGTCTGTGAGATAAAGAAAAATAAATGCAAAGAAAGGAAGTTCATGGAAACCTATTAACATCAGGGGGAAAGTGAAATGTATGGAAAACCATGATTAACAAGAAGCTGGACCCAACATAACAGTTCAGATTTCAGATTTCAGACAGTACTATAGTTGCTAGAGATTTTCAAGAAAAAAAAAATGATGATAGGGAAAAACAAGAGAATTGGAACACATTTTTAAAAGCCGAATTCCACTTATGCAGCTAGAAAGTTTCCAAAGTTACACTGATGATGATGTAGGAAGAGGAGGAAGAGGGAAGAAAAGACAATGGAGGAGGAAGAGCAGGAGGAAGAAGTAAAATAAGAAGGTACCTATGTTTATTGCAGCATTATTTACAATAGCTAAGATAGCAAAATAGCCTAAATGTACCCCAAACTGCTAACTGGATCAAGATGATGTGATATATACACACACAATACTACCCAGTAATGCAAAAAGATAAATACATGTCAATTATGGCAATATGGATGAAGCTGGAAGGAATTATTCTAAGCAAAGTGAGCCAGAAGGAGAAAGAGATACTGAGTGGTTTCACTTACATGTGCAATCTTAAAAAAACAAAGAAAAGGACAGGAAAAAAGATAAAAGTCGCAAGTTGACCACAGATCTTAGGCAAACAGAAGGGGAGAAATGGGGAGAGGGATTAAAACAGGGGAGGGAAAGGCACAAGGGACTTAGTGATGGATGGTGTGTGGTGGTGGGAGAATTATGGGACTAAACCTGAGGGAAGAAACCAAATAATGCATGCAAATTAGCAATTATGTAAGACAATAAATTACAAAAAAATTAACTCGATAAATCATGTGCATATTTAATAAAATGTACTTTAAAAAAGTAAATCATGACCTTCCTATACTTGTGCAACACCCTAGGATTATGACTATGCATTTTACAGTCTTAACCCTAACTGTAATTTCCACTTTACTTTTTAGTAATACTAACTCTGACTCACAAGGTTAAAGGAAAAACAGTCTTCAGGTACTCAGAGAATATAGTGACCCTTCTTTAAAGCCTGCCCAGTTTGTGGATACTAAATATTTTTTTTTTTAAATTTAGTAATATAACTAAGAAAAAGTAAACTTCAGTCTTTTTCTATAGTTGTGCTGAGTTTGTTAAAGAGATTTTAATTGTGTGATTATTAGAGTTAAATGAGTAGTATACCTGAATCTTTATTAACAGTTTCTGCTACAATGGTCTATTCATTTTGCTTTCTTTTTTTTTTTTTTTGGACTGTTTTATCTTTATAACAAATGTGTTAGCAAATATTTTGAAAACTTATTTCATGCAAGGCATTGTTCCATATAGTTCACATTTATTAAATGTAGTAGTCCTTACAATTTCCATGAAAAATTGGAGTATACCAGCTCTTCAAATGAAAAAATAAATGCATACATCTAACATAAATATATTTGCATTTCATGAGTATGATGGAAAATTAGAATTATGGTTTCAGCATGACTAATTCCATTTAACCTATATATTTACTATTAAAATAATTCTCCTGCATACAACTTTATGAAATCTCACTATATATGTTAAAATTAACATTGTAAAAACTTTGGTCAATGATATCATACATCATTATCGTACTCAAATATTTGGGTTTACTATGTATTCAAACATAAAACCACAAAAATTCCCTTACAGCTTTTAAGGAAATAGTCAATCTATAGAAGTTACTACAAATCTGACATGTTTTCTCCCAAGTTAGGATTTTTTTTCAATAATATACTAGTTTATGATATTGAACTGAACACTTTCTATAGTCTTATGCTCAAACTTCAGCTATTTAAAAAATACTTTAACTATTTTTCTCTACCCTAACAATACTTTTAGACAATTTTCAGTATCAAACTGAAAAATTATAAAACTGGTTTTCTTAATAGAGGTGACATTGGTTTATAACACTCCATGTGATTCACAGGTATAGAGTCCCACCTTTTCAGATGTATAATACCACACCATACCCACCATCAAGGTACCCACAGTCTTTTACCATAGTCCAATGAGCGCCTTCCACACCCTGCTTTCCATTTTCCTCCTCTCCATCTTATATTCACATTACAGTCAGACTTCTAAGTGTTGTTATTGATTTCCTTTTGTGTGATCCTTTGTTTTGTTTCTAACATGTAAGTGAATTCACCTGGTATTTGTTTTTATCCTTCTGACTTATTTCACTTAGCATTATCCTCTCCAGTTCCATCTATGCTATTGCAAATAGCAGGGGTGTATCATTTTTCACAGCTGGATATATGTCACATCTTCCATATTCATGTATCTGCCCTCTGTCACTTAGATTGTTTCCATCACTTGCCTATTGGAAATAGTGCTGCAGTGAAAAAAGGGGTAACTATATCCCTTCAAATTGGTGTTTGTATACTGTTAGTGCAGAGCACTACTAATGGAATTGCTGTATCATATATAGTAGATCTATTTTTAATATTTTGGGAAATATCCATACTGTTTTACCCAAGGATTAAACCACCTTACATTCTCACCAACAGTGCAAGAGGTTCATCTATCTACATATTTTCACCAAACATGCTTTTTCTGGTATTTTTGATATGGGCCCTTCGCACACATGTAAGATTATATCTCACTGTGGTTTTGATTTGCACTTCCTTTATGATAGGAGATGATCGATATTTTTCCATGTGCCTGATGGTCACTGGCATCTTTTTCTTGGAGAAGTATCTAATTAGTAGTTTTGCCCAATTTTTGATTGGGTTATTTGTTTTCTTCTGTTGAGTTGTACAAGTTTTTTGTAGATCTAGGTTGTATATTAGAGCCTTGTCAAATGTAATATGTGCAGGTATTTTCTCCCTTTCACTAGGGTGTATATTGGTTTTAGTGATGAACCCATAAATGCATCACTAAAGCCAATGTTCTGAGTGTTTTGCTTATGTTTCCTCTGATGTATTTTATGGTTTCAAGACTTACATTCAAGACCTTAATCCATTTTGAGTTAATTTTGTACGTAGTGTTAGCCAGGTGTCTAGTTTCACACTTTTGCATATGGTGGTCAAGTTACCCAATACAATTTGTTGGAGGGGCATTTCTCCAATGTACATTATTGACTCTGTAGTTGCAGATTAACTGTCAACAGAAGAAAGGCTTTATTTCTGGGTTCTCATTTCTATTCCATTGGTCTGTATGTCTATTGTTATTCCAGTAACATACTGTTTTGAGTACTATAGCTTTGTAGTAGAATACGGATTCTTGAAGAGTGATACCACCATTCTTCCTCTTTTTTGGTCAGTATTGCAATAGTTATTCACACACAGTTTCAAGATTATCTTGACTATTTGGGCTCTTTTGTGGTTCCATATGAATTTCAGTATTGTTTGAAGAATGCCATTGGAGTTTTGATAGGGATTGCAATTAATCTGTATATTGCTTTGGGGAGGATGGGTCATTTTAACAATGTTAAAACTTCCAGTTCATGAGGAGGAATATCTTTCCATTTCTTTGTGTCTTCTATTTCCTTTAATACTGTTACAGTTTTCATTTTACAGGCACTTCACTTTATTATTTAAGTATACTCTTAGGTAATTACTTAGTTATGATGTGATACCCTGGGACCCCAGATTAGAGGGCAATCAGTGGTGCCATGAATATGACCCCATGCACACTAAGCATGCACAGTAGTGATATAAAGCACCATTACCCCCTCCAAGTTGCTCCCCTATCCACTGATTCAGAAGATACAATATTACATCTTACAACTATGGAGCCCAGATAGGTCAAACATTCAAAATCATATGAAAACCAGAGTGCCACCTGTTGAATATGTAGAAGCAGTTCAAATCTCTTAAGAATTAAAACAGCAAAATGGGCAAACAAACAAAAACACAACATATGGCAACTTCAGTCCTCAAGAGATATGACATAAGGAAAAAACAACTCTCAAGAAATCAACCACAAATCTATGACAATTTTTTATCTTCCTATGAGAAAGAATATTCTATTATTTTCATTTCAAAGAAAAAAAATGAAGAATAGAAAGTAAAAGTGAAAAAAACAGAACTCCAAAACGCTAATCAAGGAGATATAATAACACTGAGAAAGACAACTGAACATGATTAAAAATACAACTAATAAAAGAACATAGAAGTTGAAGATTTAAATAAAAAAATAAAAGTGTTGCAGGATGTTGAAAGAACAATAGAGGCAATAAATTCTTCAGAAAGCTAAAGAAATAGACTATCTCAAAGGCAGAATCAAATCAGTCACCTTGAAGATAATAATGCATAGAAGACCAAGTGGAAAGAGAAAAGAGAAATACAAAGAAAAAAATATGAACAAACTGAGAATTTTCCAAATGTAAGGATATGTTTGTGTTATATATATATATATATATGTTTATATATAACCAAATTATATATAACCAAATTATATATAACCAAATTATATATAACCAAATTATATATGCATGTGCACATATACATTATCAATTATATATACATATATGCATATGCGTGTATCTATCTATCTAATCAAATCTGAAAAGAGACATTGGCAGCAATACAATAGTACTAATGGAATTCAACAATTCATTTTCATCAAAGGACAAATCAACTCCACAAAACATCAACAAGGAAAATACAGCCTTAAATAAGAAATCAAATCATATGAGCTTAATGACATTTACAGTATATTATTAATCTACAAATTCACTTCAGTATTACTGTCAACAAGTTTTTATTTTGAGGGGGTAGAGGAAAAAC